ATCAGTGTAACGACAAAGCATGAGTCCAGAGAAAAGAAGATGAAGCACACGACCTATCTCCTAACAGAGAAGTGATGGACTTAACATGTTGAATGAGACACACATTTTTTGGACATGGTCACTGTGGCAATTTGTTTTGCTGGAAAATTTTTATTTTTATTTTATTTTTTTGAAAATTTATATGTGTTAGGAAGGTTTTCTTTTTCTTTATTTTTTGGGGGTTGTTGTCTAATGGATGGAGGGGAGGGAGAAAAAATGAAATCCTGATATTTGGAAAAAATTATAAAATTGCATTTAAAAAAGAAAATTCCTCCAGTGCTTACCTTCGTTGAACTATATTACTCCTTTTTATACTCTCTCCTGCATTCAGCACAATAACCCTTCATATTTTGCAGGAAAAGGAGTCATGAAAAATAAACATGTGTTTGTGGCAAAATCACACCACTCCCTTATGCTAATCCCTCACATTGCTCACAGGAGATTCAATTCACAGAATTAGTTGAGCTTTTGCATTTGTCCATGCTGCTCTAACTACTTTACTACTGAATTACTAGTTGAAAAAAAGTTCACCAAGTTAAATTCTATTTTAAAAAAAATATGATTTTCCCTGAACACATCATTCTAAATAAACATGCCCAATAAATTGATGACCACAATATAAATAACTCTTTCTGTGATAGTGTTTCAGTGTTGGCTCAAAATGTCAATGATTAGTTCCTTGAAAGAAACTTTAGAATGTCTTCTAGATGCTGTAAACCTGCCATAATCATGTGAGCTACTTGAAGTATTCTTGAAAAGCAGCCACACCCATGCTTGCAATATCACTTCCCTCAATGACTATTCCACTCTCCATAAAAAGGAACAACATCATATGATTTCAGAGAGGATAAGGTTGATTACATCTTCCATGTTGTCATGCCAGATTCCTAAAACTGAGGTATGTACAATTCTTTGTATTTAATGTAAATTATATATATATATATATATATATATATATATATATACACACATACGCACACATACACACACATATGCATATATACGTATGTATATATTGGATTTTTATAGCAATTTTCCCTAGAATGAAAATGCCTGGTAGTTCCTATTGCATCATAATTGTACATGCTTCTGGGAAAGGGGCCACACAAAGATTCAGAAGGTAGAAGGCACAGATGGGAGGAGTATGGGGGTGGGAGAGAAAGAGACCTGCCACTTCTCTTTTTTTTTTCTTTTTTGTTTTTGCCACTTCTCTTAAGGCTGGAATGAGCCGTGTAACATTAGAGATGATTGCTGTGAAATTTGCAGCTTACTAAAGAGAGTTAAAGAACCAAAGACATGCAAATAGCAACTTCCGATACCAAAAAATACAAATACAGATACTTTAGTATAGGCATTAAAGTGGGCTATGGAAGTAATCATAGGATGTTTGAGTTGGAAGGAGCCTTACAGACCATCTAGTTCAAATACCCATTTTATATGTGGGGAAACTGAAGCCCGAAGAAGGGATGTGATTTACTTAAGGTTTCACAATAACAGAATGGCGCAGATAGATAAAGATTTTTGTTGATAGACTGCTGTTTGATAGACCCTTTGATGGATATGTTTTTTTCCCCTAGTTTTGTGTTCTTTATTTTTTAAATTTTATTTTTAATTTATGGAATAAAATAAGCATTTCCATAACATAGTACAATAAAAAAGATGATTGCACATTAAACCACAAATCTACTATGCGCAGCTTGCTATTACTATCAAATATACAACAAAATTATCACGTAGGTTTCTTTTTTCCTGTTTTTCTTCCTTCCCCCCAATGGATATATTTTTATAAATATACCAGTTTCATTGGGTAGATGATTGATGACAGTTATCTACCTCTTTGTACACTGTGCCTATCCCCAATATCTGTATATATTTACTCAAAAGGAGATCTCTGTTCCAGTTTTTAATAATGCAATTTTTAAAAGCATGGTTGATTTTTAACCCACAAGCCCTTAAGATTTTGTAGGCCGCAGGCAAAATGCTTATGTTTTAGGTACATTGCTCTTTCCTTTACTTTTCCCTAGAGATAATGCACCAAGAATGGTGAAGGGGATTACCTGTCAAGAGGCTTAGCCAATATTTTGAATCAGAAATGAACGACTCTGAAGAGTCAAGGAGTTCTCAATCTTAAACCTTGTTTGCTATTGCCTTGGAATCAAAAAGTTGAAGAGATGAGAAGCTTCTTGAATCTTCAAAAATTCAAAATTCTGCAGACCTCTCACTACAGTTTCCAAACTGTCCTGCCTCCACCTCTGATCTACCTGAAATTCCATGGGCACAAGCTCCCTGGGATAACTGAAGGCCCCCTGACCAGAAGGCACAGTCAAGGGTAAAGAGAAACTCAAGTCTTCCCTAATATTCTGGAGAAGTTCCTAATGTGGGCTTACTTGGCTTGGATTCACCCTGCTTATCCCAGTCTTAGAATGAAGATGCAGCAATGGAAGTATTTCATTGCATTATTTGGTTCCCTTCTTGGGAAAGCTGTAATTCTGGAAGAGATCCATGTTCTCTACGGGAAATGAAGAAGAACCTCAGGAGCACAATACCTATGTGCAGACAAGAAGGAAAAGACAGGCACAGAGGGAATGATTACATTCCACAAGATAATTACGTTAGGATATCAACTCTCCTTTTTAGGGCTTTTCTGCTGCCGTGGTAGTTTTAGAATTGATTCTTGCAATGTTCACTTTTTGCAATTAGAGGGCAAATCTTCTAAAGGCTGCTTCAAATTTGCAGATGTGATATCTTGCCCATAAATGCTGAATTGCTGCCATTATTCAGGAATTGCTCCCTGCAAATAAGGTACGGAATGACTCAGAGTGGGGAGGGCACAAGAGAAGCAATTCTCCAGCCTGAAGCCCAAATCTTTGAAAATGCTGCCCTTCAAAACCTAGTATTATAAATAAGCTCCTCAAAGTGTAAATGATTTTGTTTCCTAGAGAGCTTTGTTCTTCTCAAAAGCATTTTCACATGCCAGAACATGGAAAGAATTTTTAATGGATTTTTGTGGTGGGAAAATGACAGATTTCTCTGAAAAGTACTGTTTGCAGCTGAATTTTTCCCAAATGGATAGTGTGTTCTAGAATAGATAATGCCTCCTTTAGATGAGAATTTCTGCTCAAAGATAAGATTTTTTTCTGAATATTGGACAAATTCTTTCAAAAGATCATCTCTACCACAAAGGGCTAGGGGTTAAAATGCCAGTGCAATGCTAGCCCTTCCTGTGAGGAGGGGGAAAAGTGGAGAGGGAAGCATTCTGACTTTCAGATTTCCAAAAGACAGTCACAGGGGTTCATTCTGCTGATACCTACATGACTGTAAGTTTTCTGTTCTGGAACTCTCAGGAAAAGAAGAAATGAGTCCAAAGAATGGCAAATCTGGCATCTAAATTTCCATCTAAGCCAAGAAGAATAAACAGGGCCCCTGGTTGCCATGAAGGAGGGGAGTGGTAGCAGCTGGGGAAAGAAGCCTGGAGGGTCTTGATGCCAGATTGCCATGAAACCTCACTATCCAAGCCCAAGGAAAGCTTATAAGTCCCAGATAAAGCTTCAAGGTAAGTTAGAAAGACATGATCTGTTAAAGCCTATTGAGAAGATAAAGATTAGATTAAACAATGACTGATAACAATTAATAAGAAAGGCACCAAATTGTACCTAGATAGTCATTTCTAAGTGTCATCTAACATGTCTATCATATTTTAAAAAAATATTTATTTACTGTCCAAAAGCAAAAAACAGCTATTTAGTAGGGATAAAGATAACTACTAAAAAAGCTAACACAATTGTAGGGGGTGTTAGCAGAAATTTAGCACCCTAAAAATGAGCACTAAAAGTCCCACCATGACCAGCTCTGGTCAAACCAATTGCAGACTCTGACCAGGCCTAGGAATCCAATTTTAAGACAGTGGCAGGCAAATGAAAGTATCACAGACAAGGGCTTGCTGGATTCTGAGGGATCTGGATAAGACTCTTAAGTGATAAGAAAGAACAGTTAAAAGAACTTGAGAATGTTAGGTTAAAAAAGAGCAAACTTATGGGGGGCACATGCTTGTAGTGCCAGGCACTGTGGTAAGCACTGAAGATGTTGTCCCTGCCCCTTAGGAGCTCAAATTCTCATGAGGGAGACAACATCTAAATAACTTGGTACACACATGACCTAGAGAGTAGATGGAAGGTAATCCCAAAGGGGAAGCTGAGGAAGGAGGGCAGGGGAGGAAAGGCCTTCTGAAGAAGTAGATAAGATATGAAGGAAGCCAGGGTAATCAAAAGGTAGAGGTGAAAGTATAAAGCATTCCAGGTATGGGGGATAACCAGTGCAAAGACATGAAAATTGGACACAGAATGTCATAACCAAGGAACTGTAAATATTCCAGTATAGCTGGATGGTAAAATACATGAATGAGGAACAAAGTATAAGGAGACTAGAAAGGTTGGAAGACACCAGGTGGGTGAGGAGTTTTAGGTGCCAAACAGAAAACTTTGTATTTGATTGTGGAGGTAATAGGGAACCAATGGAGATTACTGAGTAGGGGGAGGGGGTGACACAGCCAGACCTGCACTTTAGAAAAATCCTTTTCGCAGCTCAATGGAGGGTGCATTGAATGGGGAGAGGCTAGAGGCAGGTATACAAGTTAGAAAACAATTGCAGTAGGGCAGGTGTTAGGTGATGATGGGTCAGTTTTCTACAGTCTGACTTATTCTGTGTGGCTCCAGAGGAGAGAATTACGATAAATACGGAGATGTTACAAGAAAGTAGATTTTTGTCTCAATATAAGGAAGAATCTTCTAACAATTAGAACCATCCCAAACCACAAAAGGCAACCTCATGTATATGACAGCAGTAGAAATAGGACCAAGGAGGCAGGAAAGGGTAGTACATATTCCCGTATGGAAGAAATCTGGCATGAAAAGGCAAGTCATTTGCTCAAGATCACAATGAAAATAAATGAAAGTTGCACTCACAGCATCTGCTTGTTCTGACAGGTCTTTATCCCACAAATCCATGGTTTTTGCTTTAGGGTCCTAAGAAAACCAGAAAAAGAGAGATTAAATGTTACCCTGGAAAACACAGCAAACAGAACTAGAACTTCAAATAGGACATTATGATTTAAAGACTTTAACAAAAGAACATACCAATACTTAAAAATTTTCCCTGGGAAAATGCCCCTTCCCGTTGCATGGCCTTAGACAAAGGGAGAGTGACCTATTCTTTCCAATATTCTCACAGTAATACCTCTCATAGTCATTAAATATCCTTTCCAATATTTTAGCGGGGAAAGGGCCCCCTTAAAAATGTCTAGTACATAAAAACAATAACTCAATAAACTGGGAAGTAGCTTGGTAGAAATTAAATTTTGACTGATATCTTATAACACATGCTATATTTAGTACAAAATGGATGTGACCTGAATGTTAAAGGACATATCATAAAACAATTAGAAGAATACCAGGGCTATGGATAGGGGGAGACTTCTTAATCAAATGAGGGATAAAAGTGATCACAAAAGATAAAATAGATAATTTTAGTTACACGAAATTGGCATAGACAAAACCGATGCAACTACGATAAGAAGAAAAGCTGTCAAGTAGAAAAAATCTTTGCATCAACTATTTCTGATGAGGACTTTGCTAGCTAAAAAAGCAGGGAACTAACACAAATATAAAAAAGCAAGAGCCATTCCAAAATGGATAAGAAATCAAAGAAAATGAGCAAACATTTCTGCAAAAAAATAACTGCAAACTATTAATACCCACATGAGATTGTTAAAAAAAAAATCACTAATTATAAGAGAAATGCAAATCAAAAGAACCCTGAGGTTTCACTTCATATAAGAAAATTTGCAAAGATAGGAATAATCAACGTTGGAGGGGCTGATAAAATATTTGTAGAGCTGTGAATATGTCCAACTGTTCTGGAGATCAACTTAGAATTTTGCTAAGAAAGTGATTGAAATGTCTCTATCCTTTGACCCAGACATCCCATTGCTAGGTTTATAAAAACATAATCGGTCAACAAGCATTTATCAAGCATTTACTATGTTCTAGGCACTGTGCTAAGCACTAAGTATACAAAGAAGGGCAAAAAGAAGCTTATATTCTAATGGGGAATACAACAGGAGAATAACTATGTATGTACAAGATACATATTATATATATAGAAGGTAATCTCAGAGGGAAGAAACTAAGTGGGGAGATGAGAAGGGATAGCCTAGTACAATCCTCTTACAGAGGGTGGCATGTGTGCTTAGTCTTGAAGGAAGCTAGGAGGTAGGCGTGAAGTGACACAGCATTGTAGGGAGCCAGTACAAAGGCAATGAGATTGGAGCAAGAATGTTGTGTGGAAGAAATGATAAGCAGGCCAGTGTGGAGTGCATGGAGGGGAGTAAAGCGCAAATAGACTAGGGTCCAGGTTGTGAAGAGCTTTAAATGCCAGAGGACTTTGTATTTGATCCTGGGGGTAATAGGGAGCCACCAAAGTTTTTTGAATTGATGGTGGCAGGAGGAAGGCATGTTCAGACTCATGCTTTTTTAAGGAAGATTATTTTGGCAGTTGAGAGGAACCTAGATTACAGTGAGGACAGATTTACATCAGAGAGACCAGCTAGAAGGCTATTGTAATAATCCAGGTGAAACTTTTCAAAGGTGGTAGCTGCTTGAACACAGAGAAGAGGATTTATAAAAGATGTTGTATAGGCCTGGATGACCAGGAGGATGGGGCTGCCTCAAAAATAATAGGGAAGGTCAGAAGGTAAAATAAATGAGTTCTGTTTTAGACATGTTGAGTTTGAGATGCCTCTGGGGCATTTAATATGAGATGTCCAAAAGACAGTTGGTGATATGAATTCAGGAGAGATCTGGGAACAATCTCCATAGAGCTAATTGAACCTATGAGAATAATGAGATTATCAAGCAAGAAAGCTTAGAGGGAAATGAGAAGTAGGTTCTGGACAGAGCCTTGGGGGATACTCACAGTTAGTGAGCATGACCTGGATGAAGATCCAGCAAAGGAGACTGAGGAGGAAAAATCAGATTGGTAGGAGGAAAACTGGGAAAGAGTAACATCATAAAAATCTAGAGAGAAGAGAATATCCAGGATAATAGGATGATCAACAGGGTCAAGGCTGCAGAGATATCATGATGGATGATGATTGACAAAACACCATTAGATTTGGCAATTAAGACATCACTGGTAACCTTGAAGAGAGTAGTTTTGATTGCAGAGGGTTTAGAAGAGTGATAGGAGAGGAACTGAAGGCAACTTGTTATAGCCAGTGAAAATGCTTGTGTCAAGTGAGGGTTTTTTAAAGCTGGGGGAAACATAAGAATGTCAGTAGCAGGGAAGGTGCCAGCAGATAAGGAGACACTGAAGATAACGGAGAGAAGGCATAATAAAGGGTGCAATCTGCTGGAAAGATAGGAGGGAATGAGATCAAGGATGCATGTAGAGGGTTGACCTTAGCAAGGAGAAGATCCATCTCTTTAAATGAGACAGGTGAAGGAGAAGATATCAGAGGAAAATGTCTAAGTGACATAAGAGGGGAATGAAGGGAGAAAAGGGAGGTTTTGGAAGCGAAATTTTTGGCAAATGACCTCAATTTTTCAGGTGAAATGTAAGGTGAACTCCTTACATGAGAAGGTTTGAAGAAGGATAAAAAGGTTTGGAACAATCGCAGTAAAAACTGGGATATGGGACAAATTATGGGGGAACAGAATGTTTGTCTTGATGTAATGAGGGCCCAGTTAAGATGACATAATAAAAATTTGTAGTCAGCACTGTTTTGTGATTTTCTCCATCCTCAGTGAGGAATAAGAAAGGAGACAGGTAATATTAATAATAATAGCTAGGATTTATAAAGCACCTATTATGTGCTAGGCACTGTGCTAAACACTTTACAAATACAGCCTAAGAGTAATCCAAGGTTGGGGCAGCTAGGTGACACAGTGGATAGAGTGTCATGCCTGAAGTTAGGAAGAACTGTCTTCTTGAGTTCAAAATCTGGCCTCATAGCTGTGTGACCCTGGGCAAGTCATTTAACTGTTTGTCTCAGTTTCCTCATCTGTGAAATGAGCTAGAGAAGGAGATGGCAAATCACTCCAGTATCTTTGTCAAAAAACCCCAAATGCAGTCATGAAGACTCATGCATGACTGAAATGACTGAACAACAACAATCCAAGGTTGGGGCTTGGAAAGTCCTGATTGGTGACGGGACAAGGGAGCAAAGGGATTCAAATGTACAGGATGGTATGGAGTTGAACCAGTTCACCAAGGGGTCAAGATAGGGAAGGGAGTAGAGTGTAGATAGTACAGAGTCTAGGAAAGAATAAAAAGAGTATAAGGAATGGAGATCATGATGAAGATGAAGAACAGAGTTAGGGTTCATAAGTCATAGGGAATGATGTAATGGTAAAAGGTTATGATCAGAAAAAAGAAATTCAGAGTTCTCTGTGTGTAGATGAGTAAGAGTATAGGAAGTAAATTGTGGAACTGGTTAGGGTAAGTGAGGACACTTAAAAAGGGATGTTGAAGTCCCCTAGTATAAGGGCAGGAGTTGGGGTGGAGAAAAATACAATGAGCCTAGCCCTGACCTCACTGAGGAAGAAAGAAGAGTGTTTTTGCAGTCAATGGAGAAGGGCCACCAGGATTTACATTGGGTGATAATTTTGAATAGCATAAACCACAAAGGAGTAGATGATGCTTGCTGATTGATGGTGATAGAGGGAGAGTTTGGAAGTAGCAACAGGGAGCAAAGAGTAGTCTGACTTCCATAACTACTAGTAAATCACTACCAATATGAGTGAAAAATATAACCAGTACCAGAAAGGCTAGCCAGTCAGATGTCATGTCATCCATCAGGATGGAGTGAAGTCTCAGGGAGTGGCAGAAAATGGAGGGAGTAAGAAAGGAAAAGGTTTAAGATAGAAAGGCCCAAATACACCAAAATATTTATAGTAGCACTTTTTATAATAACAAAGAACTAGAAACAAAGGAAACAAACGCCCATCAACTAGGGAAAAGCTAAGCAAGTGGCGGAACAGGAAAGTATTGGAATGTTCCTGTACTGTAAGAAACAATGAAATATGATAAATACAAAGAAGCAAGGGAAGATTTATGAACTGATGCAAAACGAAATAAGCAGAACCAGGAAAACAATATACAAAGGTTACAACAACAGAAAGAACAAAAAAATAATCAAAACTGCAAAATTATAATGATTAAACTTTACAACGGAGGGGGGAAAAAAAGAATATATCTTTCTGTCTACTTCTTTGCATAAGTGGGAGAGGAGGGACCATTTATGTTCAACATTGCACAGAATGTCAGACTTTTTTTTGATAGCTTGGTTAGTTTTGATGAGCTTTTTTCCCCTTCTTTTTAAAATTCTTCCTTATATGGATCAGATATCTCAGAGGGGCTAGGGGAAGGATAAAGTCAGAAATATAGATGATACATAAACAAAAGTTATCAATAAAACTTATTTTGAAAGACTAACCATTGTATAATTACAGTGACCAAGCTTAAAGAAGGAATGAGAAAATACTTTCCTTCCTTCTTGGCAGAGCCTGAAGACTACAGGTATAGAACACTGCATATCATAGCTCTCGGACTTGGCTGGTCAGTTTTGCTAGACTGTTTTTTTTTCTCTTTTAATTTTTTTACAGAAGATAGCTTGCTGGAAAGGTGAGGGAGAAGGATATATTTGCACATGAAGGTCATGTAAAAACAAGATAGCAGTAAAAATAAAAAATAAATGAAAATTTAAAAAATACTTTGTACCATAATCTATACAAGCTAGCTAGACTTTGGGTATCAGCTCACAAAAGCACAATTTTGCTAGAAAAGAAGGGGGTCATTGGCAACTAGAATGTGACCTCAGCCTCATGGGTTACGTCACATGGGTTAGTCCTATGCTGTCATTCGGGGAATTTGCCCAGCATGTTGGATTCAAATAGTGGAATCCTAGCAGTGGAATTCTCACAGGTGTTTATATTCACACAGGTATGTGAACACATTATAGGGGCCC